AGCGCCGATGTCTCCACCTCACTCTCCCGCTCAGACCTACAAACGCGGAGAGCATCTTCTAAGGCTGCCGCTTCAGCCAAAGCGGTCACTCTACCTTTCTCGGCACGAGTCAATTCTTCGATCTTGGCGCTCAACTCGCCCCGTAGATCAACAGCCTTCGCCTCCCTCTCCCACGTTCAGTAGTTAAAGATACCACCCGTGCTTGAAGATCGGCATTCTCAGCCATCACCCTTTTGCTCACCTCGAGCTCGTCCTCCTTGGCCTTTAGAGCTGCCTCAAGCTCACTACACCGACCGATGGCCCTCATTAGCTCTTCATCCCTCTCCTTTAACTCTTCATCTTTCTTCGCCAACTCCTCGTCTTTCTATTTAAGCTCGTCACGAAACAACTGAAACTCGCTATCCTAGTTAGAGACATCGGCCAGCGTTCGATGCTTAGTACGGTACTCCTTGTACTTAGACATCACCTTCTTAAAGAGGGCCGTCCTCCGCTCCTCCCGCCGGTCACGCTCGATCCCCATGATAAGAGTCTGACACGCAAAAGAAAGGAGACAGTATGAGCAGATTACACATGCAAAACAAATCCTAACATTAAAAAGCACTTACTCGCAGAGCCATGCCAGATATACTCAGCGACAACTCCGCATCGCTCATCGCCTGTAGCGATGTGTTCTCAGAAGCCGCACACAAGGGGGCAAAGGACGGCACCGCCCGTTCCGAGTTAGCCAAAAGGTCATAACCCACGGGGATGATTACGTGCTGGTTAGGACCTTCCGTCCTTACCTCCACGCGAATATTCCTCTCCAAGAAGGCCCGTACCTCTTTAGGATCGATATCCGAGCCATAACTGTCGTCCCCCGCAAGTTACGCTCTATCTCCCCCAGCCGCCGATGACGTGCCACCTTCTGCGGTCCTTACAAGCTCCCCGCCATCATGCACCTCCTCGGCCCTAGAGGACCTCCTCTCCATAACGCCATCCGGCGTAAAAACGGCCCCTATGTCCGGTGCAAGTGCAGACACCGCTTCCGGAGCAATAAGTTTCTCCGGCTCAATATCAGTGACAACGGCCTTCCCGAGCTCCATCCTTCGCGTTTTTCTCGATGGCGACTCCTCTCTATTAGACGACTCGTCTACAAGATGGTAGATATGCCGGGAAGAGATCTCATCTCGCACAGCAACAATCTGAGGGGCGGAGTCCCTCATTGACGGAGCTTGAGTACGACCTCCACGAACGGACTCGGCCAAAGCGAATTGCATCCCAGTCGATGCGATAGCTTGGCGAAATGCCGGCACAGGAGACTTCTTCTTGGAAATTCGTCAACCTGGCACCAAAAGGAGGTCGTATCGATAAGCAATGGTAAACAACAGAGAGCTGAAGCAAAAGTAACACTTACTAGACGGGACCTTCGGTCTGAAACGCTTGTGGAAAGCCACCCAATCGCGAATCCCCGCCATGTGAGGCAACACGCGAGCCACCCAATCTTCCATGTCGAAGATAGGAAAGGGTGCATGCCTTTTAGCTAAAAAACAAAGAAACCGCAAGTGAGCTGAAAATGAAAGGATGAAAGAAGAAAACAAACGTACAACAAATAAACTTACGATTATGATTCCACTGCTCGGGAAACCCGGTCGGGTCCACCACCAAGTGCTCGGTCTTGATGAAGAAGTACTTATGCCAGAACTTCCGATTCGTTCTGTCATCCATTCCGACTACCAGCTCTCTGGTCCCACTATGCCGTAGGTGTATCATAGTACCTCTATAAAAACTAGGCGAAAATAAATGCAGCAGATGGCGAACATCAACCTCACAGCCGGCCAATTCCGCGTACTTTGTCAGAATCAAGAAAGCTTTATACAAGTAAGGAGAGAGTTACGCCGGGCAGACGTTGTAAAACCGGCAAAATTCCTCCGCTAGCGAAAATAAATGCAGCAGATGGCGAACATCAACCTCACAGCCAGCCAATTCCGCGTACTTTGTCAGAATCAAGAAAGCTTTATACAAGTAAGGAGAGAGTTACGCCGGGCAGACGTTGTAAAACCGGCAAAATTCCTCCGCTAGCGAGAGGAGAGGAAGAGTGTAACCAATCAAGAACGGGTAGACATAGAAGGCACAATACCCAGGTTGATGGACCTCTACGATGTCGCCACCGGCCGGAACTATCTCGACATGGGGAAGGATGCGATATTTGGACCGAAGGTCGGCTATTTGAGGCGGTCTAGTCTCGGAGAGCACCTGAGCGGGAGCGGGAGCAGGCTCCTTTGGAAAATCATACCTAGCCAAAGGGTTTTTGGGAACTATCTCCTCCGCGGTAGGGAAGCTATCATCTTTCTCAGCCATGAATTCCTCACCGCCGGAAGGAAGGGCCACCAATAACGGAGTGGCATCGGAAACTCATCATGAATGTGAGAGGGTTGTGACATATTTCGACAATAAAACGTATTCTACCAAGCTCGGAGAAGAGGATAACAACTGGTAAGAAAGAGGGGAATGGAATCGGAGAATCAAAATGAGGAGCAGGAACTGGGGAAGAAATCAACGAAGAACAATACTCATGCAAAGTAAACGATGGTGAAAAGTTCCGAAAAATGAAACCCCCATCTATTTATAGGGCTGGGAGGCACGAGAATCAAGGCAAAGGATTGTCAATGGCGCCAAAACCAAAGCGGCAGATGCAGAGACGCTGCCTCGGGAAGATGCGTAATGATGACGCGCGTGGTCATGACATTATCCCACGATAGCCACACAGTTCTCTCGACCTCGGCCGATCAGACTTATTCAACACAACTAAATTTCTCCTAAATGAAAGCAAATCAGGTCCTCTTATCGAGGGCGTGCAGGACCACGACCTCAACAAACGGAGGGACTAATTGTATTGGTCTAAATTTGGCGACTTGGTAACAGTAGATAAACGGGATCAAGGATGGGGTCGACCACGGCGTAATAGCGGGATGCCGTCCTCGAGAGGGCTGTTGTCAAGGACGAGCAGCTGAAGTGAAGAAATAACGGTAGAATAGGTTCGTATATAGACACAAGGAATATTCCTTTGGATATTCCTTGTTTTGTACTTTTTAGTTTTTTTTTGGAAATATCCCTTATAAATAGGAAAGGATAGAGAACAAAAGGGGCTCTCTGGACTTTCTGGAAAAAACACATTGTAAAAGGCTGACTTGAGAGAATATACAAAAGTTGTCTCGTTCATTGATTATCTTATCCAAGCACACATTACTTAGTCTTTGTTAACAAGATCCAAAGATTCCATAACCATCTTCACTTCTCTTCTTTCTACGTTGCTGTGAGGGGAAGAATCATCCAAGTCATATAATAATTGGGTTATAGATTCTTTCTTACCGCTTTCATTGCCATTATCCACATTTATTGCATATTTGTATTATCGCATTTATGAGCATTCATTGAATATAAATATGTTGATTAACGTTGTTCATCTTACCGACTTCACATAATATTTGGTCTAGAATTTATTATTTTTAGCTAAGATTCATCCTTCATCTCATCATTAATTGGTTTAACTAAAAGGTTCAACACTTTTTGGTCAAACAATAAATTGAATTTATTTAATGTAGATATCGAATATGGAGAACAAGCATAATTTGGTAACTTGAGAATTATGGTAAGTAAAATGTTACAACATGCATAGGCGGAGTTAGAAGCCTGAGTGCATGCTTGATCAGATTCTATAGTTACTGTTCAATTGAATATTTGTGTTAAAAAATTTATTAAATATATAAAAATATTAAATTTAGAATCCATTTATAAGTATTTGAAGTCGTAAAATCCAGAACCAATATGATTCGGATTCTGATATTTAAATCAAGTGTTTTGTGCAGGGGCGGATGCACGCTTATCGAACCGGTGTCACGCGGCACCGCTTCGTTGGATTTTACTAAATATATGTGTTAATACTGTACAGAAATGGGTAAGTAGAAAAAAATGACACCACTTAACATAAATTGTGTCTTGGTGTGTTGGTTATGTGCTTGATTTTGCTCTAAGAGGTCAAAAGTTCAAATCTCAACTAGCACATTTTTCTTTTGCAAATATTTGAGAGAGCCTTTGTGGTTAAAAATTGTGATTAAGTAGATTTGAACCTAGGACCTTTTCTAACTTAAGATTCAACAAAGCCAATAGACTAAGGCTATTTCTTATCTAAAAGTATGATAATCAAAATTATATTCCAGTTCTTCTGTAAATTTCGACACCGCTTATAGAAATTCCTGCGTACGCCCCTGGTTTTGTGATGACACTTAGTTTTAAGCAAATACTCTAGTAGAACAATTTGACAAATTAAACATGTCAACTTATTAGCTCTTACAATCTGATATAATAAAAAAAGAATTATCGTGGCACGACTCAGTTAATGGTCTTAGAATTAGGATTTAGACTCAATCTGCCAGCAATTCAACACATTGACGTGACGTATTAACACCAACTATTTTTTCCTCAGAAAATCATAATATATTCTGGTGATAATTCCTTAGTTGACATAGTAAAGTTTTTGCTTCTTTTCAGGCTTATAAAACTTCGAAGAGTAAGTACTTAACTTCTCTAATAAGTAATTAAGTACTAACATAAGCCTATTCTCCCATATTATTTTTTTCATAACTCCATTTGACTGAAAAACTTTTTAAAATAAGCCGATTTTGGAAACTTAACAAAACAAGTTATAATAGCCAGCCCATTTCTTTCAAATCTTTCATTAAAAGCAGTAGTTTTATAAAACTATAACTTCAATTCTTTGAAGGGAAGTTTACAACAATTGTCTTCGTGTGATCTATAGATTATGGATTCGGGCCCTCAAATCAATCATTGATGCTTGTATCGGGATAGACTGCCTACATCACACCCTCTTGCATGAATGCGGGATGCTTTGTACATCGGCTGCCCTTTTCTTTTGAGTTCTTTCCCACAGAACTTTGCCACTTCCCAAATCTTGGTTACCATTTCTCACTTATTACAACAAACACACAAAATTTGAGTGTATGTAAGAGAATACTACTCCCAAGTCCCAACTTGTAGAGGCAAAGTTTAATATGCTAAAGCTGTTTCTTACATAGTCTCACTCATAAATTACAACTCACCTAATAACAGAAACCTAGTAAATCTCATGCTCTTAAGGTTGTTACAACATTACTTTGAATGTTCCATACAGCTAGTGATCAATCACTTTGAGCTCATAGATCACTTGTTTTAAAACTCAGTTTGGAAATTCTGATGTTGAGCCATTTATGCCCTGCAGTCCGGCCGAGTTCAAGAGCTGCATTCCTTCTTCTCCCATTTGCTGCACTTCTGTAGGCGACAAGATTCTGATGCATCGAACACAACCAACAAATTCCCTGCAACGCGACCATTTCAAAGATTTTAGTTGAACATTATACAGATTTTGTTTCTCAATTATACATTGAAGACTATATATGTAGGCAGTTAATGTTTATAGTGAAGCAAAAAAGCAAGTGCAAGAGAACTTACTCCCAAGGATCATCCCCGACAAGGAGTACATCATTCTCATAATCAACGTATACCAGCTTCCATCCCGAGCCTCTCGTGTCATTCAGCAGCCCCTCAAGTCCAAACATTCTTTCAATTTCAGATCGCAGTTCATCGTAGGTTTTAAAACTGGAGACATCAATTGACCTTCCTACAGATCCAGCCTTTTGAATCTGTAAATCAGTAGATTTAGTCAGTACACATATAGAACAGTTGCAATCACAGAACTAACAGAATAGTAAATCACAAAGGTGATCATTTCATGACAAATAAAGGATATATAATAATCTGAGGAAGAACTAACAAAGATTGCATATCCAAGAACTTGTAATGAAAATGAAGAGGTAAAGAAAAGCGCATATAACTTAGAGAATGAGTTAACATCAGCACATCTATAAACTCAGAGTCTTCGCTAATAAGATTGCTATCACTTAGCTATTACTGTATTGCAAAGACATGTTTCATATCATGACATATAAACTGCTTACCTTTGTATATGTTCGCACACGTGGAGCTACTTGCTGCCATGAGCTATTCTGCAAAAGATTACTTTCATCGAAATTTACATTGCTTGACGATGCACCACCTGAGTTGTCGGCAAAATCTTGTACAGAGAAATTCTGAGAATCTGCGAGACTAGCTGATGTAATCTGAGACTGAACGTCTTGACTAGAACTGAAGTTGCCTAATAGAAAATCTGAAGGACTCTGGAAATCGGTATGTTTTAAAGTGCAGAACTCATCTAACACTGTGCTTGAAACAGAATTATCAATCACTGTGCTCCCACTGTTACTATCAAAATTAAGACAACTATATATGTCGCTTTGGTTATGGCTCTCCTCTGACAAGTCTTTAAAACCATATGAATCAGGTAAGAACTGCATGTTAGTTATGTCTTGCGTTAACAGCGGAACCTGAAGGTTTGATTGGGAAAAGCACTTCACATCATTCAACTGATGATCCCACAAATCCTGGCCTATTGGAGCTAGTCCAGGACCAATAACTGAATCAGGCAACATAAAAGAATGCTCGTGCTTCGTCAAAGTGGAGTTCGACACAGGAGATCTGAGCAATCCAGCAGTAGACTGGAAAGAGGGCAGATTCCACTCATTGTTATTGGAGCATTGAAGGATATTATTGGCACTAGCAGCCTCAATTTGACGCCATGGACTGGATTGCAATTGAGATAAGCTGTTTTGGTGGGAAGCTGTTGCATCAGCCGGAAGAATATGTGGACTTGCAGGCTTTATAGTCACTTTTTCTTCATTACACTGCCCTAGGGACTGACACTGATCTAACCTATCCACTGAAACACTAGTTTCTTTTGCAGGCTCAGAACTTATTCCTACAGTGTCGGAGCCTACTTTTTCTGGAGGTTGAGACTTTGGCTGCAGAGTTGCTTGCGGTGAAGAAATTGAGTTCACAACACAAGGTTGATTGAGGATGACTTGAGGATTTCTTTCATTTTGTACAGATGTATCTTCTACGGTACTTAGCTCAGGTTTCTGGTTGCCTGCTGCATGTATTAGATTCCTAGATTCTTGAGGTAGTGCAACCTTAATATCTTGTACTGTGGGGACACCGCATTGAAGACCTGTAACACCAGGAGGTCTTGCCAGCATCTTCATTAACTGTTCTGACCATAGGTTTGAGATTGAGGAACTTTGAAGTTCACCATATACATTTTCAGGAACACGCATAAAAGGGCGGTGCATCAAACTGTCCCACTCAGTTTGTGCTCCTGTTTCATTCAAAAGTAAAATTATCAGAGAATTTGAACAAGTCAAATGACAGAAAGCAGTATGGATCAACTTACCCAAAAAGGAAGACTGGTAAGGTCGTTTGAGGCCTGCAGTCAGAGAAGGAAATATGAAAAGACTTTCTGGTGTCTCAACTTCCCATGGACTAACTCTACTCTGCTTGTCTCCACATCCCGGTTCGTCCCACTCTGCCTGTTAAATAGAAGCCGCGTCAAATTGATAGAAGATCGTGAAGGACCAATTAGCTCACTTAGCAAAACAAGATAATTAGCTTGTGCTCAGTCAAATTTTAATCACCTGAAGACACCGCCACTTGGAACCAGGCCATCTCAGTGGATCCAAGTCACTAATGCCAACAATAGTGCCCATATATCTGGAAAAGGGGACCACAGGACTCCAAAGTTAAATGAAGTGGACAAGAAGATTGATTAGCAGAAATAATTTAGAATGTGATCTCAAGAATCCAGAAAGCAAACTTGCCTGCGTTTACCCGATTCCTCTGTTTCAAACATCATTCCAAACCTCATACCAACTGATAGTTGTGTCCCATAAACAGATTTTCTATATTTGGCCAAAGGAATAACAAACTCTGAAGGGCATGCCCTGTAGATAAGAAAGTTCCTAGTTATAACCAAAGTATACAAGCCAGTCGCAAAGCTAATAATGAAATGAAGGCTGAATAGTAATAGACAAACCTCGGATTGTAGAAAATTGTGAATGTGCTTCTATTAGCTGCAGCATGGGCAGCTGCTGCAAGTACTCCAATATGCATACTATCAGCAGACAGAACTGAAGACGGCAATGAGGTCTGCTGACGGTTAGCACGCCTCACTCCCAACATTAACTGTGACTTCTCATCTCTACAGCATTAAAATTCAAAACCAATAAGTTGTGGGCTACTAAAGGGATACTCTCTTGTTTGCATGTCGTCATGATGTTTTGGAACGTCAAATAGCTTGTGCAGGTGTAACTTCCTGTACTTCTTTTCTTTGCAATTACCTGATAAATAGAACAGAATCCCCAGCTCTAAGGCGTTTTGCTCCAACAAACATGCTCCAACCGGTTGTGAGAAGATGTCGCTTTGGCTGCCCTACATAAACAGGTGGAAAAATCATAAAATTCACAGCAAAATGAATCACACAAGACAAACAGCTTTAGATTGTTCATCGAAATAGAACAAAAGAGTAGAATATGGTAGATCCCATTTCAGCATGCTTACCGCGGTATATGTGACGGAATGTCCAAGTATTATCGTGCAAGTCACGTACAACAAGCTCTTGTGTTGGAGGTTGCATGGAGTAATCCTGAAAGAGCAAATAAATACAACACAGAAAATCCAGGGCAACTTTCTAAGTTTTTCCTTTTTTTGTGGTAAGTTGGAAAATGCAACTCATTCAACAAAAGAACGAATCTCACCAAGGGTGGAAACAGCTTTTCTGCCGCTCTTCTAGGAACTGAGAATCCACCATGTGTGCTCGTATCACTAGCAGTCAAAGTTTTGCAAAAGAACTCAGTTGGATGCTTACTAGGCTTCAGCCCAAAATCTGGAATGGGGAAGACATCTCTCTCCTGATCAAGTAACGGGTATAAGGAAAGAATTTCAAAATGGTTTCAATAGTAGAAACATTCTTCGCCTCCATCAGTACATTAGCATCTGTAGTAAATTTTAGTACAAATAATAGATTAAAAAACTTACAGAATTCACAGGTTGGAGGCTCATTTGGGCATAGATCTCATCTGTTTCTTTATCTGCCTATAGATCAAGTGGAGGACAAGCAAACAACATTATGATATTACTCCTATATATTAAGGGCATAAATCTTAAAAGCACATACATGTAGGGTAACATTGTGAACTTGGCACAACAACTGAGAAGCAAGATTTGGATAATTAGGTATCTGGGAAGTTGCTGTTCTGTTTGTGGAAACTGCCACCTGTTGCAACAAGTTAGATTTTCATTAGCTCCTCTCATAGATGTCGTTATATCATCAACAAACAAAGCACACGTCGTAGAAGGACAGAACACATAATTATTGTGCAACTAAGTTTTATAAGAGATAGAAAAGCACATTCCTAACAGGTTTGAACTCTGCAGCGGATGGGAGTCGCGGGAGACTTTTAGACCAAAATTCTACTGCAGTAGAGTTTATATAGATGCGATCACCCATCTTTCTTGGGTTTTCTAACTACAATGACACAACTCCAGGAAATAAAGATTTCAGGTTGCCTATTGTTGCTAGTTTAGAATGAAACCTTAGCAAGTCAAACAGAGAAGGGAAATTCTTAGCTATATCACAAAATTTAAAGTTTAAATTCAGCAAATATGGACTTACAACTCATTATATGATTCTCTTGAACATTCTAATACGACGACAATGAAAGGGAACTCAGGACAAAACAGTTCTCCATTGAACATTTGTTTAGTTGGATATAATAAACAAACTCATATATATGGGTGAAACATTCAAACTGGACTTGCATATAACATTCAAACAAAATGAAGCTGTTAAAGTAATATCTGCAGATATAAGGTTTAAAGAACTACAATAGAATGATTCTGTCTTACATCAATATTTAAGGACTAGAAAGTCTTACAGTTTTTGAGTTCTTGAATAAGGAAAATGCACAATTTTGTAAAGAAATGCCAATAAAATGTAACAATTAACAATAATAGGGAAAACAAACCTGTTCACTGTGCCCCTGTGGGAAGTAATACACAAGGCTTCCAACTTGAGGCAATGTTACAAGTGGGCCAGCACAAGCATGCCACAGCTCTGAATTTATTAGCTTCCTTCCTCCTATATTGTATCAAGATTCAACATTTATAAGTATATTTGTAAAATTATAACTGTTAAAGCTTGATGGTTAGTTTCAAGATTCAATTTTTATTTCTCCCTAGCCTGAGCTGAGCTCATATACTGCTCCAAAGCATTCATATTTACAAATACAACAATAAAACTAGTGTAATCTCACCGATAGGGTCTCGGGAGGATAGCGTGTAAGCCGTACTTACCACTACCTTGAAAAAGGTAAATAGGCTGTTTCCGATAGAAGTTCATATTTACAAAATGAACAAGAAAAATCAAGGATTGACAAAGAAACAAACCAGAATGATCCTGCATTTCTTTCAATAATTTCATTTCCTCAAGTAGAGTATGTGCTCCACTAACCAAACTTCCTGGCTTGTGCTTTTCTTCAACAGAACCCATAAAAACCTCTCTGTAATTTCCTTTACATCAACTCCAAAATCAAAACTAAAGAACCCATCTTTTGCATGAGCTAATAAACCAAATCAACCCCACAATTTTAGGCCAAAATTCCAATATCCACCATTCAGCAACTCAACAAGATGACATCTTTTCTTTGTCCAAATAACCAAAAACTAACATAACTGTCAACCCACTCAAAGGAAATCACATTCCACGTCAAGGGAATGAGATACTTATTATTCTTCAGAGGAATGACACATTTTCTTGGAAAAAACTGAGAGAATAAAACCAAAGAACAAAGCTGAAGAGAATCTAGTTATTATACAAGAAAACAATTTAATTGGACAGCAGAGAGAGGAGAGCATGCCCAAATAATCCAAAACCAAAGAACAAACACTGCAAAAAGAGTCTGTAATCTAAGTGGGCCTTACACTTTTCATCAACACCCCATCAAAACCAAATATCACAAAAAAAAAAAAAAGAAACAATTTTTCAAATTATAATGAAAAAAAAAAACAAAGAGGGGTCAGCTTATTTTTTCATCAAAGCACGCGTACCTAAGTATAAGGGGCCATAGCTATCAATTCCTTTGTATTTTTTTTTTCTCTCATAAAAAAGAAACCGACCTTTCAATGAAAGTAGTCATCATTTCTGATTCCACCCTTCTAAGCTTAAAAAAAATCCTTTTTTTTCCATTTTACCCTTTAAGAAAAAAGTTTCAATTTTTGTTTCTCTTTTTTCTAACTCTGTATATACTGTTTCTTGAAAGTGGAAAAGAGTGTTGCATGCTCTTATCCTGTACACATACACACACACTTACTTTTCTTCTTCTCTGTATATTTTGGTTGATTCTTTTGCAGCTTTTTGAGACTCTCTGAAAAATTTTGCAGCTAAAGAAAAAGAAAAGCA